GAGTCCATGGCTATGCAGTGGCAGGGGTCAGTGTCTGAGTCCATGGCCATGCAGAGGCAGGGGTCAGTATCCATGTGCATGGCTCATATTACCAATAGAGAACATGGGGGTGTTCCTGGTCATGGCAGCCCCTGGATGTCCAGGGGCTGTTCATAACTGGCTCCTCCCCTCACTGGAAGTGACACTGTGAAGGGCTGGTGCCATCTCTCACAGCTGGCAACACTAGGCAGAGTGGGCTCTGTGCCTCCCCCAGACAGCACAGTGGAGGTTGCCCTGCTGGTGAGGGGTATGATTGAGCTAGCCCTGAGGGTGAGAGCATGGGGAAACCAGCCCCTCTACTCTTTTAGTGTGAGGTGGTGTGAGTGTGGGGGTGATGCCCTCACACTCACCCCCTTGCCACCTGCAGTAACAGAGAAAGCCGGCTCTGGGGTTATGAGACTGGGAGAGTGGGCCCTGCACCTATCCTGTGCAGCTCGTTGGAGCTGGAGCTGGAGCTGGAGTGAGCTGTCCTGGAGGGCAGGGAAACTGAGCCTGCCTCCTGCCTGTGGTGGCATTTGGGTGGCCTGGCCAGAGCAGTGCTGGAGAGCTCACCCTAGTGGTGCAGATACGGGAAGAGCCGGTGGGCTGAACAGCTCAGCTACCATCCAGGTCCAGATCCAGGGCTCTGAGTTGGCCCACCCCAAAATCTAAATCATCTGTGAACTGTTGGGATGCATGAAAGGGCCGGTCCTGCGGTTCCAAAGCTGCAGGATGTCCATGACACAAGACAACAGGATAACCGGGAGGAGTTCAGGTGAAGATCCGATATTGATGGTGTCACAGATGCCAGAGATCTGGAGCCAGATCAATGACTCATTGCAGTGAAATTTTGCAAGTGAAGATGTGTGGACAGAGGGATACACTGTGAGACACACCGTGACACACCACAGCTTCCATGATGAGATGTTTTCTATGCTTTGTTTGTTGTAGGGTGTGTGTGTGTGTGTGTGTGTGTGTGTGTGTGTATGTGTGTGTGTGTGTGTGTGTTGTTTTGGAGGGAAGTTGCAAGGGTGAAGAAGGGTGGCTATGAGGGGTACAGAGGGATGTGTGGGACTGGGATGCATGATGTGAAATCCACAGAGTCTATTAAGTTTTTTTTTTAAAGCTATGAACAAGGCGGGTGGGGGAACCAACTTCCTGATCACTTAAAATGATGTATGGCTCAGTCGTGCTTGGTTTTGAGTTTTGTATAAATGATGTCATGCTATGCAGACTCCAGACGTTTCTTTGGTTTTGTTTGTTTGTTTGTTTGTTTGTTTGTTTAAGACAGATTCTGACAATGTAGTCCAGGCTGGCTTTAAATTTGAAAGCCCCTTGCCTCAGTCTCTGGAGTGCTGTGGTTAGACATGAACCAGTATGTCGGGCACTCAGTTTCTTTATGTGTATATTTCATGTTCATGCTTATTTGTGTGCACATGTGTTTCTGCCTGTGTGTGCAGCTGTGGAGGTGAGGGGACAACTTTCAGGACGTGAAGGAGTTGTTTCTACTTCTACCACCTGGGATCCAGGAATCAAACTCAAGTCGTAAGGCTTGGCAGCAACCCTTTACCCAGTGAGCCATGTCACTGGCCCTCGATGGACGTTAAAGAAGAAATCTGTTCCTATCAGGGCATGGCAATAGATGTCTATAACCCTAGATCTCAGGAGGCAGAAGCAGAATGATAAGTGAGGGGATCAAGGTCACGCCTGGTCACACTCCACCCTTATGGCTTCCAAGACCCAACAGCAATGGCAGTGCCCTGGCTGGTTATTCACTGGCTGTGTGACATTGGTGCATTCGCTCTCCTGATGAGCACATCTGAGTTGTTTGCAGTTCTTCACTAGAAGGAACATGCTGCAGTGAGTCTCCCTGTCAGCACAGGTTCTCAGGTGAGTGCCAGAACCTTCCAGTATACCACCTGAGAGGGCACTGCACGTTACCAGGACAACTCACAGGGTCAAGTTTATGACACAAAACCAATGTTCCCCAATAGCAACATGCATCCCTGTGTTGGTAGCCTTGGTGGGGTGGTTTTTTCTTTTTTTAAGATTGATTTTTTAGTTTTTAATTTTATGCATCGTGTGTACTTGTGAGTGCAGGTGCCCAGAGTCCAGAACATGCCAGATCCCTGGATGTTGAGTTACAAGAGGTGGTGAGGCACCTGATGTGGGTGCTGGCAACGATAGTCCAGTCCCCAAGAGCAGCCAGTGCTGTCAAAGCTGAGACATTATGACCCCAGCCCCTTGACACTTTGAAACTGACTTGCCCTAAATAATGTGAGCGGCTCACACACCTCAGTTTGAGCGGCTTCGTATACCTGTATTCTCAATCAGTGTCCTTTCCTGTGAAATGCTCATGACTTTTGATAAATTTTCTTCAGTCTGTCTTTTCTCAGTTGTTTCTAACACACCACACACACACACACCACACACAGGGATACACACACACCACACACAGACACACACACTATACCACAGTACACATATACTCACAATCAACCAATCAATAAGTAAGCAAATAAATATAAAAATCTTAAAATAGACCAGACAGTAGTGGTACACACCTTTAATCCTAGCACTTGAAAGGACAGAAGCAGGTGACTCTTGGAGTTCAAGGCCAGCCTAGTCTACAGAGTGAATTCCAGGACAGTCAGTGCTACACAGAGAAACCCTATTTGGGGGGGGGGAATAGATTATTTTCAAAGTCATTCATGATTATTTGCTCACAGGTGAAGTAAAGACCTAATTTTCATTTTTTTCTTATGGATACAATTATCCTAGAACACTGATCTGAAATCTCAGACCATCATATGCCAGGTTTCCATGCATGGGGGTGTATTATGGTTATATTATTTTCTGTCTCTGACCTTATGACAGCAACATACTGCTTTGCTTGTTTGTTTGTTTGTCTGCTCTGCTGGGGTTGGAACCAGGGACTTGCTCACTCTGGGCCACTGAGGGCACCGCAGCCTTAATCACTGACAGTCCCTAATGTACAGAGCATGTCTGGAGCACATCTGGGGCAGGTCTTCCCCTTCATTCAGGGGAGCACCACTCATCTGGTCTTCCCCTTCATTCAGGGGAGCACCACTCATCTGGTCTTGGGCTTTGGGTTTTCTATATGGGTCTTATAATTCATTATAAAATAATTTTAAAGTTTTGGTTGGGATTTTGATTATTTCAGGTACTCTATGGAGAGTTAATAAATCATAATATCCCTGTGTCTTCCTTGCATGTTTTCAGTAAATCATTTTCTACACTTCTCTAACTGGACATATATTTAGATTTTCTCTCACCACTATTCTCAATTTTACCTTTTCTGAACTGAATACTTTTGTAGGCAAGTATGGAGAAAAGTAATTTAAGTTTGGATTCTGGGGGCTGGGAGATGGCTCAGTGTTTACGAATGCTTACCGCTCTTGCAGAGAACCCTTCTGGTCCCCAGTATTCCTATCAGATGACTCACAATCTCTTGTAGCTCTAGTTCCGGGAGATCCGACGCCCCCTTCTGGCCCCTTCAGGTACTTGCACGCACATGTGGTGCACGTACACATGCCCAAGCACACTTGCATACACATAAAATATTTTTTTAACGGGGCTGGAGAGATGGCTCAGCGGTTAAGAGCACTGACTGCTCTTCTAGAGGTCACGAGTTCAAATCCCAGCAACCACATGGTGGCTCACAACCATCTGCAATGAGATCTGATGCCCTCATATGGGTGTCTGGAGACAGCTACAGTGTACTCACATATAATAAATAAATAATCTAAAAAAAAAAAAGAAAAAAAATATTTTTTTAAGTATGAATAGTGATCTGACACCCTGCCATCTTGATAAACTAATTAATTCAGATCAGCCAGACTGTTAGATTACTTTGGATTTTTATAGGTAGGCAATTCTACAGCCTGGAGCCATAGTGAGTTTTTATACTTTTCTCTATCTTTCCTTCTGTTCTTAACATGCTGGTCAGAACTTGCAGTGAGGTGTTGACATGGAGACCACTGGCCGGGACACTGGTCTGGTTCTGGTAAGAAGGATGAATGCTTTTTACTGACTACTGGCTACATGAAAATTTTGCAAGTTAAATTTTCCTTTTATTCCTAGCAAGGTGAGAATTTTAAAAAAGTGTAAGATGATTAACAACATCATTGCTACTATTTTGTAGTTCTAGGGCACAGACACTTCAGATCACCTAAGCTCAGCCTGTTCTCTGTGCGCTGTTTTGAGAGAAGTTATGGGGCAGCAGGATTTGTTTCTTCTTCAGCCAGCCCTTTAAATGTTTGTTTGTTTGCTCGTTTAATAAGTTGTATATTTCAAGGAATTTGTCCATTTTACCTATTCATAAAGCCATTCATACAAAGCTATGTTGAATATTTTCTTGTTATATTCAATCTCAACAGTACTATTTATACTTAAATTTATATTGCTTATTCCTTGTTTCTGTATATTCTATATGCACTCTATATATTGGATTATTTTGG